CCAGCGTTTCTGTTTGGAGCCCCCTTCCCAGCACAAATCACTTGCATTTTGGCTATTGGGCTTCTCTCCTTTGGCTTACACGGAATCTGGCCATCTGGGCACTGCCCGTCCCTACCCACAAGCTACAGCCTGGCAGCTGAAACCGCAAAATCTTCAGAGCTGCAGTACTTGTCAGGAGCTTGGCTTTGTAGTAAAGGAGAGTTCCAATATCTTCTGCCTAGATATAAAATAAAATTAGAAAAATATCAACCAGAAAACAAGCCCCACAAACCTTTACGTAAGCAGTCTGGAAGGGCAAAGTACCTCCCTGAGACAATGCTGATCTGCTGTTGTCACAGCCGCTGCCGACTATGCTCTGAGAAATGCGCAGCTGATGGCAACCAGGTCGCTGAACACACATCAAGGCACAGCTGTGCAGGAGCAGAGCGGGGCTGCAGCCCCAGCGCGTGCGTGGCTGGGACAGGGAGCCTCTCCCCAGGCAGGTCCTTTGCCCTCTCGCGGGCAGACCTCTCCCTGCAGCCTCACGATTCCCAGGGTCCCCATGGCAGCAGGGACAGCAGCTCCCTGGATTGCCCTGCCCCAGCGGGGGCTCGCAGTGACCCTGCTCGCAGCGACAGCACCGCAGCTGCGCTCCCCACGCTGCCATCCACCCCGCATTCACCCACGCTCTGTAAATCCTCCACACACATCCCTTCTATGGCAGTATTTTAAAACACTAGAGGCCTTTTTTAGCTCATCATTAACTTAACTCAATAACTTAAAATTTCATAAAGTTGCCAGAGATAAGTGGAAAGGGAGACTTTCACCTTTGATGTTTCGATGCAAATAGATAAAAGTAAACCATGTCATTCCAATTTCTGCACAGACTATGAAAAAAGTGCCTTTATTTTCTGCCTCACAAACTGTAACATATGGGACCACGCAGGCAGAAGACCAGCAAGCAGTAAGCAACTTGCAGGATTATTCCACAAAAAGGCGACCTGGGCAGAGAACACGTGGGTTTATCTTCCTTCCCCCCTCCCTGGTGAACAAAGATTTCTGAAGGGCCCTGTGGCTCCCCCTCAACAGAGTAACTTGGTTGTCTACATTTTTCAACTCGAGATGAAATTATTTCCTCTTGACACCATCTTCTGGTTTGTGCTCCTTCCTCTAACAGGTCTGACACTTTATTTATCTTGTTTTTCAGTCTGGCACTTCATCTATCTTATTTTTTTTCAATTCCAATAGCCCAGAGAGTAGGAAACCAGCACGTGAATGACCCTTGTCGCAGTTAGTAGAGACCGTAGTAGCCATAAAGCCTGTTACAGACTAGTCAGGTTGAACCCTGTGGGACGCAGCAATACTGCCCTGGCTGGACCTTTCCTCGGGGAAACTTCCAGCTGTGCAGGGCTCCCAGGTGGAGCCCACTGCCCTGCACCAGGCTGAGCACAATGTGAGCGCCTTCCTGCACGCCGGGAACACGGAGTGAGGTTATTTCCTGTGCTGTGTGCCGGGAGAGCGGCAGCGTGAGAACAGATTGGTAGCAGCAGAGATAAGAAACACTCTGGAGTTACTTACTAATGTTTTATTTAAGAAAAATGATTACAAAATATTTTAGAAACCTCATAAGACCAGAAAAGCATCATACATTAAAAAGACCACAGGTTTAGAATGGAAAAATATTTAAGCATTTTGGAGTGCTTTTACTGAAAAGTCAACGCAACATTGGCTACGGGACTACATAAAAATTTTACAATATCTAACCATTGTATTAGCAATCTCATTCAGTAATCAATATAAGTCACTTAAAAGTCTCACAGGTGAAGTGGCATTAAACTTTACGCTGTTCAGTACTATCTAGGTATCTGCGATACACTTACAGCAGTGAGCTGAAACAAAGATTAATCTCCATCGTAAAGGCACTTTCCAGTATCTTGATTTGTTTTCACAATATTACACAACCTTTCAAAAAATCACACTAAATATTCCCCTTCAGTGCAGAATGCGTGTTGTTTTTATTGCACCAATTTGAACAGAACTGGGATTGCCATGATGGCTGTTGTGCATAACCATCTTGTGCAGAGCTCTGGGAATTGTGTGGGATAAAAATCACTGCATTTTTGAGGTAGAGGGTGGACGGGTAGGACTGAATTGTAACAGACTTTAACTCTCCCCTGCAATTTTCAAGATCAGACTAAAAGCAGCAAGGCACAATCCCTTTACACATTTGAGCCCCAAGGGAGAAAAATCACAATTGTAACTAACATGGGCTGAACGGAGAACACGGAACAGCCTCCACGATGTGCACGAGGCACGTGCGGGTTTTCCCAGCGGGAAACAAACAGCCCAGCCACAGGCTTCACTTGTGTTTCACGCAGCACAGTGCTCACTTGAGAGAGGAGAAGGCAAAGGGGAAACTGAGGAGGGGGTTGCTCATCACTGCTGGAGCCCCCAGTGCTCTCCGGAGGGAGCACCTAAGCCACCTCGGTGCCACCCAGCCCAGGTAGCTTCAGCGTCGGAAACAGCAGGTTTAAGCAAAGCAGCCTGCGCTCGTGCAGGCTGGGGAGCCTCTTTGGTGACAGCCCGGGAGGGACAGGAGACGCCTGTGACATGTGCAGAGCTCCTGCAGAGCCAGGTCCTTTATCCAGCTCCCACCGCATCCTCCGGCGTCGGCGTAATGGAGAGCGGGACACTCAGCACCCAGCTCGGAAGGGTGAGAGGCCTCTCGGGAGAGCAGGTAGGAGCCTGCGGAGCGGCAGGGCGGCCCCTCCACTGCTGCCTCTGCTGCCACTGGCCACCACGCGGGACACAACTGCTTGTAACAGCTACAGCGGCACCAGGCAGCACAGCCAGAGACTGGGAAGGAACAACCTGAGGAGCGCTAAGGAGCGATCCGAGAGGGGCCAGGGAGGCCCTCACACCAGTAACACGTTGCAGCTCGAGCTGCACTGCGCTCTCCTCACCGGTGCAGCGTCAGCAGGCCATAGCGCACAGGAGGAAAGGTGGAGAGGACGGGACAGATCCCTTGCAACACCTGTGATGTAGGCATGAAAACCGAAAACAGCACTTGGGCAGGGCGAAACCTATAGGAAAATGGCAGAGAACTGTAACGCTCATGTATTTTCAAGATGAGAAAAATCGAAGTTTGACGGAAAAGGTAACTGAGGGTAAAGCCCTGCCTTCACGCTGCATTGCTTAATAAATATCAGCAGCACAGTCTTATCGTTACATTATACCTACAGCTTTAACTATGTATCAAGCCTTAGAGCCTATGGTCATTTTGATACGAACACAAGTCCAGTAGTATCCTGGGATGTAAGCAGGGAAAAAAAATCTGAAAATGTTAATCACAGGCATGGACACAAACCCAAAAGGAAGAAGCTATAGCTGTGATAGAGGTTTTTCACTTTGGATAGTTCATATCACCAGCAACCTTGCTTGTAAACAAAACGTACCTCTACCTACCTGCTTTTGAGAGAAAGTTACAGCAAGCTTTGTACAACCAGATCAATATCACGTTTTAATGCAAATAGACACAAATAAATATGAGAACACAACAGTCCAAAGAAGAGGTTTCTTCTTCACAAAGCAGGAAATTCCCTGAAGGGAAGCAAGTATTTTATGGATGGCTCTGAAACCAACCTGCAGCTTCCACTTGATGCCTCAGATCCCCAGGCAAAGTGTAGTGTTGGGATTAAGGTCTCGGAGCACAGAGAGGAAACGCCACCAACGAGCAGTGTCACGTTCACCGGAAAGCGGCACAACTGAACAGACTCTGACCTTCCTGTACGGTGCTTCGTCTCACAGCTTCCTCATCCCGTTCCAAAGACAGCAACGCTCGGCCAGCTCCTGCGGGGCTTAGTCTCCGTGCTGCCACCTCAGGTTACACGACTGGGGATCTCTTGCACTAGGGCACTAGAGAACTGGAGCTAACACCTGGAAGACAAGGCAGATGTCACAGGAACTCGGGCAGGACCTGGTTTTGCTTCATCAGATTTTTCTCATTTGTGCTGGCATGCAGGAACAGCCCCTGCTCTGCGGCAGTCGTGCTGCTTGTCTGCTTCCCTCCAAGCGAAGTCGAGAGGTTTCGTTTCTCCCTGGGGCACCTGAAAGAAACGTCTCTTGGCCACTTCTGCGGCCACCAGCAGCTGGCCTGAACCCCATTGCTTGCTGGGCAAGTTGCAGCTCTTGCAGCCCGTTGCTCTGCAGACAGGTCAGTGACACAGGAGCGCTAGCGCTGACTCACGGAATCACATGTTATTCATCAGCTCCCCAGCTGAGCTAGCCAGGAGCAGGAAGGCTCAAACCAGCAGCATATCCATCGGCAAAAAAAAAAGTGGTAGAGTTTTTGAGCCCTCTGGCAAAGCTCCCCGTGAAGTGCGCTAAGGCAACTGCAGCTGGTCTTCACCCCCAGCCTTGCATTTGGCAGGCAGTACTGACGTGCTGCTGTGTTCTGCCCATGGTATTTCCAAGTGCTACTTTTTAGGTTAATTCTTGCAGCTATTTGTCCTTGAACCTTCGCAGCTTTGGTTGCTTTTGAAACAATTTGAAAGGAGATTCTGGAGCACAATTTTAAACATCGGCAACCGCAGGATGCAGAGCTGTCTCTCTAATACAGCATTAAACTATTCCCCATAAAAACCCAATACTCATCATTTCATTAAACTGAGCTCCATGGACAGAACTGTACCGAATAGTAAAAGCAAAACAAAAACCCTTATGGAAGGATCAGTATTTCTTGTGAGGCTGTAACTAGGTACCCCTTTTACATTCATAGTTTGATCAGTGTGTTAAAAAAAATACAATTTATAATTAGTAACAGAAGTATCTGGTCCATTTGTATAGAAAATCTCTTTAGAACATAACTCTGAATTTATACACCATAAATTACCTTTTAATAATGATCCTTACTGAAAATCAAATCAGCACACTCTTGCCCTTAAATTATTGTAATTAATTAGACATTTTTTTTTTTTAGTATATGCCAGGGCATATACCTGGCAGATATGCTTGGGCAGTTATTAAGCAGGACCAGTTACCTCCAGAATTATATAGAACATGATGCCAAAACACCATTGCTAGACCGAAAGATCGATCAAAACTTGTGAGCAATGCCTACAAAATTGATTAGAAGGAAAAGAGAGAGTAAGTTATTTACAGTGCACAGAAACCTCTTTTTAGTTTGCTTGATGAGAAAAATAACCGCCAAGTTTAGCTTTACTTATTCAGTGGCTGACTTTCTGTGACAGTCTGAATGTGGGCAGGATTTTCAGAACGACTTTCAGTGGCTTGTTTCCGTTTATCCAAATAATTCATAACCCCTTCTGCTAAAAATGCAATACTTGCAAGAAATCCAAATGCCTGTGAAAGCGAAAGAAACACGTGATGTAAAATCTGTAAACATCGATGGCATTCAAACACTTCTATGGAAGTTAATAACTCCCATGTATTAAGTTTCCAATCATCCTTAAATTGGTGGTTCCATTTAAGTTAGAAACAGGTCAGAAATTTTAATTGTAGTGCATTTATTCAAGAGTTTTTACACTTCTCATTCTTTCAATCAAGTGTGAATCTTACAATATAGCCTGACCAGCCACTAACATTAGAAATATTAGTTTAACTTGGAAAAAAAAAATTAAAAAGATAATAAAGAAGTATGGAATAATTTTTCCAACTCCAGGAAAAAAATGAAAACCTCATCCTTTTTCATTCAAGAATAATGTCAAATTTCAAACTGATACATTCACAATTCCAAGATCATTTAAGAAATGCCACAAAAAGGAGGAATTATGCATTCCACAGCAGCTCTTCAGCCCTGAGCCCCTCAGCCTTCTCAGAAAGAGGCAAGCAGAGCTGTTTTTTCAACACACTGGGCTTTCCAGCAGCAGCCAGGGGTACCTGCTCTTTCGATTTCCTCAGGGAGGTTTCTAGAAGATCTGAAACATCTAGAAACTCTGAAATAGCTAATTGCTCCTGAAACATCCCAGCCTAGGAGACACACTGAATTTTGTGCCTAGTTTCTTGCCTGCAGAGGCAGATGTGATGTTTAAAGGGAACAGGAGTTAAGAAACAAGATAAATCCACAGCAAATGATACAATTTTTATACTTACACATGCAGCATTTTCTAAATGAGATCCAGAGCTGGTTGCAGCAAACACTACTGAAGCTAACAGAAATATGCCACCTATGCATGGCATAGCATAAAAATTCTGCAAATATAAAAAGAATGTGTCAAAGAATTGTACTATACTACCTGAAAAGAAGAAATATCATAACAGCAGCCATGTTAATCTGCCAGGGCATGTGTACTTGGAAACTTTTTAAAAATCAATCAATCAATCAATCAGTTTACATACCAAACAACACTCAACATATCAACCATGTGAAGGAGTCTGTATTACAAACGCCCCTTTTTCTGCCCTTTTAAATATTGTGCTCATTCCATCCAACTTGTTTCACAGTCTAATTCAGGCTCAGGTCTATAGTCTTAGCCTCACTCTAGTTGAAAAGCGTTTGGGAAAAAAGAAACCTGCAAATTAATGTGCTCACTGAAATGTCTTCCTGCACTCCCTTACGTGTCCCTTCACGTTAAAACCCTACTGCTTGCTCGGCAGAGAGGCAGGAAGGGACACGCACAAGGCTCCCAAGTGCAATACTCTTGCTAGCTCCACAGATCAGCTTAGTGCCACCACTTCATCTTTGGAAATATAAAAGCATGAACTATAATGAGTATGGTTAGTATCAAAGAGGATGTAGGCTTTATGTACTAGAAAAACAGATATTGTAAACAGGCAAATTCCAGGTATCGTGATGGCAGCAGGCTGTGTTCTCTCTCTTACATGCTTACTTGCTTTTATGTGTGTACAGACTTGTGTATGTATATATGTATACATACATATTTTTAGATATGCAAAATGGTTACTAAGAGCAGTGTTAGTTTGTGCTAAAGTCTTTCACACAAGTCCTAAAACCTTGCACACAATAGTAAGAGGTTTGATTCATACCAACAAGATCACAGTGGTCTAGTTAGCACCAGCTCACGACACGAATATACAGAGACTTAAAGGCCAAGAGAGAGATCTTGCACAGTATTTATAAAGAAAGCACAAGTGAATGTTCGTATCATCTAGTTATGTTAAAAATGAAGGAAATCCCAGTTTGCAGAAAAGCAACAGAGGAGCATGCATATACAACACAGCTCTTGTATGAGATTAGTGTGATTCTTCAACTTGAAGTAGCTGTAGATGAGACCATGACAAGATAGCTGTAAAATCAATAAAGCCATGGAAAAGAGGAGTACGAAGAAAAAATCGCTGTCTCGCTCCGTGACAAAGACTCTCTACTGAAACCATCAGAGGGCAAGCCAACGCCAGTTCCACTTTGTGGATTCACTGCCACAGAACACAGCGGTAATCCAAAATACAAAGGGAGTCAAAAATACTCTAGAAAAATGGATATCAGTAATGCTATTAGCTACACTGCAGGTCCTGAGCCAGAGAGTCCTTCAGGAAGTTTCTAAAACACTGAATGTGATGGGCTATTAGCTCCTCTGCCTTTATGGGCAGGGGACATAGAAATGGATATCTGTTTCTCATATGTCTCTGCCCACATCATTAACATCAGTGATTAAAACATTAGTATCAAAATTGACTCCACATTATTTATATTATGTTTGTAGCAATAGTTTGTCTTTTTAAATGAAATAATCTGTTTCCGTCGAAATATGAGAAATATTTCCTCACATTTTACGAAACCTGAACTGTGGTTCTCCCTCTGCTCCTACCCTTCCCCCAGTACAATCTTGGAAAGGAAGGAAAAAAATCCTCTTCCCGGGATAGGAAGAAAACAAAAAGAGTATTTTTAAAATTAGCCCTCTTTTGTTTCTTTTGTCACGAAGAGGGGGGAAAGAGGCTCTTTCATAACATGAGGTTATATGAAATTTGTCACAGCAAAGAAAACAACTTACTGCAAAAAAGCCTCAGTCCCAGAAGGGCAGACACTACAATTCAACTGTAAAAATGTTGTGGTCTGTGCAGTGCAGCAGGATGCTCTGAAGAGGCTGTATGAAACTTAACCGTGCCAAAGAAAATGCATCCCCTAGCAGGGAAAAAATGTCTGCTGTTTCCATTAGAGACCAGTTAGTTTCCTGATTCAATGCCCTAGCTTAAATGCATCATGTCTCACAGTAACCAACATGACAAATTTGAAAGTTTCTAATATAAAATGAACCCTTAAGGTTGAAGGGGCTGTTATTTATTACATTATCATGTAATATAATAAATAGGTATAACATATAGTTTACATGATATTTAGCAAATAACTGTAAAGAACCTCAACGTACACTTTAAACACTAAAGAAAAAACACGCTTTCTGCATAGCCTTTTAATTCCACAATAGTCTTTATGCACCTACTTCAAACAGTTTGTTTAAAAAGTTTGATTTTAAGCTTAAAAAATGTTTTTTTTTTCTCTGCTTACCACTCTCTCCACGTTTTCCTTCCCAAACCGTTCGTACGCAGCCGTGCAGTACAGGCAGAGGGCCAGGAGGCTCAGCAGCAGCGCGCTGCAGCTCGTGAACTCAAAGAAGTAAAGGCCGCCGCACCTCAGGGGGTTCTCGACAACCTCCTCGCAAATAACCGCCAGCAGGGAGAAAAGCTGCAAACAGGTAACGTGCCAAGTTAGAGCGAGTCTTTAGTACCTTCACAAAGAGACATCTCCGCTATTAACGCTAAGGAAGGCAGCTGTAAGAAAAACCCTCAATCTAAGAACCCTGCACCGTTCTGTGCCATACTACAATTGCATTTAATCTTGATTTAATCTTAAAAAGAAGCGTCACCACCCGCAATCCCTAAAGATACTGATCCAATCTACCACCCTGAGAGCTACTGCTGCTGTCACCCCCCTGGCTAAGCTTCACAGAAAGCAGATAAGCACCCAGCAATTGGCCCTATGACTCACTAACAGAAGCCGCTTGGCTGCATTTCTAGGAACCAAGGCAGAAGGAAGTTTTACGTTTATACCAGGTCAGACAGCGTTTGATCTATGCAGAAGCTTCTATTCCCCTTCCTGCAGCAGTATCTTGTGAAGAAAGGATGCCAACAAATTCCTACGTAAGTGCTACAGGTCTGCTGATGTTTCTTCTGATGTTTTATGGAATGTGAAAGCTGAGCTTTATTTAAATGCTCTCTCATCTTGGCCACTTTGCTTGTTTTCTTTGTCCTATAGATCCTTGTAGTAAAGAGTTCACCAAATTAAAGCAATACCAAACAAAATTAGTGGGAATCAGATTTGGTCGTACAATCAAGAATGACATAAGGATAATGATCCCATTTTTAATAAGCATACATACGCAATAAAAAGGTCAACAAAAATAACTTTTAAATGTCAAACTCTAGCATTCAAAATAGTCATTTTCCAGTTACTGGCTCATAAAAGGAACTGTGGATGCCCTGTCTGGGTCTCACTCTTGGAAATGGCAAGCCTTTAGTTTCACTTTTCTGGCAATGTAAATAAGAAAAGCCAATTAGCACTGCAACTTCCCCCACTAAGCCAGCTCTCAGAAGGCCCCTAGAAACATCATGCTTTGAATAGGCAACCATATAAAGTAGGCAGGAACCCCAAAGGGGAGAGAACACATGACCTGAGAAACTGAAATGTTAGGGTCAGGTCTCAGCGTACTTCCTTTTTCTCACAGAGCTGCATTTATCAGGAACCCTCACACCTAGTTCAGTTGCTATAATGAAGGCCCAAGGATTATTTTCAACTCCAAATTTCCAATTTTTAAAAGTGGCGAGTTTTCCTTATTTCAGGATATTTGATTGCAGCGGTGTCCCATCATTTTCTGTGTCACATCTGGCCCAGGGTATCACTCTCTTGTCCTACCACAAAAAAGCATCATTTAACCCCTGCTAAAAGAGCAGTTCCTAACTTCAGTTTGTACATGTATGCAACAGTAAGAAGTTTTTCCTAGTATTAGCCAGAAGGTTACTGTCACTCTGGAATTACTCACTTGCATTTCAATAACACCCTATTGCTGGGGGCAGGATAAATTCCCCGGCCTTCCTAGGCACAGCCAGGAGAGTCCAGTTGTTTTATTCGCTTTCCCAAGAACTTTCCCACCGGGAGCTGCAGCCTCACGCGGCAGCACCGCTCCGGGGCTCCACGCAGCCTCCTGGGCACTTGCACGAAGCAGCAGCAGTTTCCTCTGGTCGCTCTTCCACCCAGCAGCACATGCAGAGGCTGCCACTACTGCGGTGATTCCCACCCAAACCTTGGCACAATACTCACTGCCTTCCTCTTTATGCGGAATTTGAGTCAATCACGGTTGTAAAAATTTCACCTACGTAGACCAACCTGGAGTCCCATGCAATAAGCATATCTCTTGATGTCCTTTTGGCCGTTAAGTTTTCATTATACTAAAAAGTTTTGAAAAGATGGGAAATATTACAGTACACACCATTACTAATCATTAGGAAACAAAAAAGGCATTTCTAAGGTCTGGAAAATAGTTTTCTGCAGCTGGTTTCAAAGTATTTTAGAATATATTTGACCACCTCTATAATGAGGACACTAACGATATTCTGAGTGCAAGCGCCTGTTTAGCACAAGTGTCTGGACAGGTGATTGTTAGTGTGCAGTCATAATAATAGCTAATAATCACTATTTTAATCCTAAGGCAGCATTTTAATTACCAGACATGGTAACAGCTATCACCATCACTGAGAATTAAAAAAAAAAAATCTTTCCCAAAATGACAACATTTACTGGGTACCAAGGCTTCTGTTCAGGTAAGCAATCAAAGATGTCAGTACATCAGCACATTTGCCTATGCAATGGTGTATTTTAGACAGTGAAACTACTTACATAGATGAAATATTTGGGAGCAATATTGAACCGATCTTATTTTAACAATCTGTAGCAGAAAAAGTAAGAGGCTCTATATTTGTTTGAAGCATTCTTGGGTGTGATTTTTTAAAACCCTTTTAGAAAACATTATTCTTGGCATTATCAGTGTTACCTTTACCAGCACTTAATTCTGCAGTTTTTGGTTGAAGTTTTTGACTGTACAAAACAAAGTTTTAAAAAAATATGTATGCATATATATTTTTTTTTGCAGCAACAAGAGCAACAAGGAAGGATTGGAAACCACCTATGATTCCTTGCAAGCATAAGACATCTGACCAAAAAAGCTGCTTTGCTGACTGGAAAATGTGCAACTGACGCGCGCTGGTTTGTGTGGGTTTCACTAGCTCCCTTTGAGCTCTTCTGGGCAACGCTCCTCACATATCCCTGTCTGCAGCCCCGCGCCTGGACCGGGCACCCAGGAGCCGAGTGGAAACATCACACCTTAACCGGTACCCACCAACATAGCAGGCATCTGCCCAGATTTCTTCCATATTTGCATGTGCAAAGTTTAGCATGGACGAGCACAGCAAAGGGGCTGTCAGGGCCATGGGGAGCTAGGTTTGGCTCTGAGGACCCAGCTAAACCCTTCCAAATTTGGCCTAAGCCCTATGCCGAGGTTCAACCAAAGGTTTCCACTTCGTTTTCATCCAGTGCAACCCTTGGAAGAAACTGTGAAATTGTTGGTTAGTTTAAACTACGCTAGCACCAAGCAGCAGAACTGCCCTGCATGGCAGTCCTTAACCTTGGTCACACGGCCATCAGACTTTAGCACCTGTTCCTGTAGCTATAAATGACAGAAAGGGAGCAAAACACGTTCCACCTCCATCACAAAACAAGTGGCACTCACTGAATTTACGATACTCTAAATTCGTTCTTCCACATTGGTTTTAACTGCATGAAGCTCAGTACACCACAGCAGATACGGGCTTTCCCTGCTGCAGCTTTGAAGTTAGGCTTCCTCGTCAGGCGAGGTCTTCCTTCGACCCACGGAAGCGACCCAGAACCGCCCTTAGCGGCCAACAGGGGCGCCCACGGGAGACCGCGGAGTCACGAGCGAGGAGGCGGGAAGGGGCAACGGGCAACGGGCACCCGCCCCGCGCGCGGCGCCGCCGCCGCCCCTCAGGACCGGCCGTGACTGACGCGGGGGTTCCTGCCCCGCGACGCGGGGGCTCACCCGGCGCGGCGCGCGCGC